CTAACTAACTCTTAATGCCTAATTAATTTTTAATACCGGCCAAACTAACTCTTAATGCCTGGCCTAATTAATTAATTGGGAAGATTGAAGAACAAGTACCCCGTGATGATCTCGAATTATCCCCCTCGCTTTTATCACATGGTAAATTTGATTGGCCAGAAAATGTAAACAATGTCACGATAATGATCGACGTTGATTATTATTAGGGATGGGTTCGGTTACGGTTACAGCCGGTCCGGATAATTTATCCGTTACAATTTTACTTATCCGGATTACTTATCCGTTAGCTAAACCCTTATCCGGATATCCGGATATCCGGATAACTTATCCGGATAACCCTATCCGGATCCAAGCACTAGTGCAAAGGTTGTCAATGCTGTCCAACTTGATGAGGACATAAAAAATGATCAAGTACCTCAGTTTGTCTATTATATACCAAATCAAATGTAACTTTTGCAGCAAACTGATATCAAAGCTGGCTCGAACTAAAGCTTAATGTAAAAGCTTTTACATAGCAAACATTAATACTTACCGTTTTCGATGAACTGAAGATCAAGCTGGAGCTAATACTAATCAAATCTATGTTAGCCTTCTTGACGACCCTGTCAAAACAGGTAATAATGATCATAACGATAATACACATGATACTCATTATTCTGTCCTAAAAACTGTTAAGGACAATTGGAATTTGGGTAGTGTGAGAAATGCTAAAACTGCAAATTCGGTTGTTAAAAGCTCAAGGAGATGTAAATAAACAAGGAAATTAATATTTTGATTCAAGGAAATTTCCTAAGAGATCGTTATATATATGTTGTAAGTGGGAATGGAATTTCTTAATAAATTTAATATTTTGCCATAGAATTATTCTATATAACATATATCCTCTACCCTAACCCTAACACAAACCCTACCCCTAACCTTGACCTAAACCTATTCTGGTCATTTAATTTGAAATTTAATTAAAAAATCCTGTATCCACTTAAATTCCGTTCCCACTTACAACATATATACTTACAATAGGAAATTTTGTTTTCTGATTACAGTCCTTAGTTAATAAATTTTATTAGGGCAAATTATTGATTTTGAATTCGTAAAATTCTATCTGTTCATAAATGACCGCATAAAATCATACATTTCAGGGGTTACTAATCTGACTTTAAATTTTCGGGGTCCAGATTTGGAATATTATAGTCATTCGAATTGATCTTACACTAACTAAATAAAGAATCAAGTAAATATTTATGTTGTGACACAAACTAAAAAAAGAAGTTAAAACAAAGAGACAGTCCTAAACCAGCTAATTTGGTAATTTACTTCTAAAATAATATAGTATAGTAAAACTTATATTTCTAATGATTAAACATGTTAGCCTTCTAGCGATAATTTACGGGAAATTATCAAAATTAGAATCTTTAAAAAAGTAATAAAGTTTTTAAAGCAAATAATCAAATATTTTATTATGTAAACTAGTTAAATTTATTTTTGAATAATAAAATAAAGTTTTGGTGGCATTCTTTTTGCATAAAAAATTTACATATATATTCTTCATGATAATAAAACAAGAAAATCATTATTATGACGTATAAGTATAATATAGTAAACTCCGCAGTCTAAAGTATATCACTGTCGCACGAAGAAAATAAAATGATTAAAATTTAACTTGCTTCTACGTACGTACATATTTCTTTGTTCACTTGTTTGCTGTTTCGAGTAATTGTGATATACCTTCGAAGGATAGTATTTATGTACAGACGTATCTCTATAAAACAAAGTATTATAGTTAACGGTTGATCCATTCCACAAGATTCTTAATTAGTCACACGGATTTATTTAATGAAATGTTTTCCGAAATTCCAAATATAAATAAAAAGCTCAAGCGAATTAAAAAGCATTTAAGAAAATAAACTTAATTTTTCATAGATCGAAATAACAAAATGACAGATTCTATGCTTACTGAAATTCGTGTCGAAGTTAATCAAAGACATTTGGTTGATAAAATGTTGGCCAGGTGAGTTTAATAATAACATTTAAATCACCTAAATTTCTTTTTTTAACTTGAAATTTCTGTGCAGATATGCTGCTGAATTTGTGGTTTTTCGAGAGTTGATGCAAAATGCTGGTTAGTAATCTCTTTTAAAACGTGATTGTTATTTGGTACATTACTAATATTATAATCTCTCTCAAAAAGATGATGCAAAAACTACTGCCGTAGAAATCATATTTGAAGGTACCGCTGATGGAACTCTCACAAAGACAATTTTTAAAAATAATGGATTTCATTTTCGAGATCAAGACTGGAATCGATTAAAAAAAATTGCCGAAGGAAATCCTGATGAGCAAAAAGTATATAATTTAGTATGTCAAGTTTAAACTTTAGAATGATTTAATGATTAATATTCTTTAATTGTCATAAGATTGGTGCTTTCGGAGTTGGTTTTTATTCATTATTTTCTGTCTGTGAAAATCCAAAGTAAGTAATCAAATTTCGTTCAAGTTTATTCGTAAATAAATGATTTCATTTTATTTTTATTACTTGAATTTCTATTAGAGTATCTTCTGGTGGACTTTCGATGGAATTTTTTTGGAGAGGTGATCAATTATATGCAAGGCATGGACCAAATGGCTCTAAAGACCTAAAATGGACAACATTCGAAATGGAGATGAGATCACCAGGAGAGGTATGAAAATGTATAACTTTTGACTTTTAAATTGATTTCTATTTAACTCCTTTGTTTAGTTTCCAGATTTGGATAAGCTTTGTCGTTTCTTAGCAACTTCACTGGTAATATTTTCATATTAGTGGATGTGATAGTGATTATTCAAATATCTCACACATCATTGTCTAATCTTAGGGATTCACTGGCAATCTTTGTGAAGCTTCTGTATATTTTAATAAAGTTCGAGTGATTCATATAATGAAAAAGATAGGACAGCCACGACCTATTGAAATTAGGTATGATGTAGACAGTGAATCACCACAAGGTATATTTAAACTTAAGTCGATAGATTTGTGCGATGTTCAAATAAAAGCAGAAAAGGTTTGCATCCCTCCAAGATTATTGCCATCAGGAAATTTTCCAAAAGAAACTGCTTCTGTATGCCTCCAAATTGCAAGCGGCAATTTGAACGTTCGAGTTCAAGATAAATTTTGCAATGAAATGGAAAGGTTAACAAAGAAAAAACCTCCGAATCAAACCAAAATACATATTCTTCTACCAAAATATAACGACTCTGAAATTGATGATTTTTGTAATATTTTCAAAAATTTGTTGCCATTTCCTGAGCAAGGAAGAATTTTCATTGGTTTCCAAACTCATCAAACTACCGGTTGTTCTGTGCACGTTGCTGCTCGAGTTATCCCAACGGTATTTAAATGATTTTTTTTCAATAAACTTTAGTACAAACTTGTTATAATTATTTATATCTACAGGTTGAGCGTGAATCAATAGACTTGGTTGATCCAACACTTTCCATATACAACTCAGAGATGTTATGTTCTGCTGGAATATTATGCCGTTTGTTATACGAAAATGAAATGTATCATATTTCAAGATTATATCAAGATATGATTAGTACAAAAAAATCGACATATGATTGCGAGAAGCGCGCTGCGCATGTACTCACACATTTTACTTTCGGAGGTAGTACACCAAATTCTCAAGTAGGAAAAATAATAGAAACCCAATTTTACAATTGCTGTTCTTCAAAATTATCTATGTTATCTACTACTGGCGTCAAAGCCATTAATTTGATACGAATACCTGACCCAGAAATGGTTGCATTTATTAAAACTGTTTCAGTCATTCCAGAAATTGTATTAGAACGTTGTAATTTATTCTTTAATAGAGCAGAGACTATTTGGAGACTTATCGAAAGAGCTTCAATAAATGATGCAATTGAAGAATTGAAAAGCCGAACTCTAGATCAGGATGAAATGGTGGCAGCAATGAAATGGTGGATAGCGTATTCTATGAAACAAAATGTCACAAAATTGAGACAAGACAGATTTGTACAGGTTGCTATCGTACGCGCTGGATTGATTACTTTACCTCTAAAGAATGTTCATTATTTCCTTAACATAAAGACAATACCACCAGAATCAGACATTCCTCCTGATGTTTTACCATATGCTGTTAGCAAAGAGTTTAAATACAAAGAGTTGCAGAAATATTTTGGGTATGATTAAATCTGTATACTGAAATAATGTAAAAGTTAGTGACTAATATTTATTCATTTTAGTAATTGGACTGAGCTTCCATTAGGAATATGGGCAAAATACATCCTCAAAAAGTATAAAATAGAGAATGATTCAGACTTTGCTGAAAAATTTATTGAAATTCTTTCTCAAGGTTTTAAATCGATGGATAATGAATCTCGGACTACCATATGCAAATTGCTTTCTCAAAAAACATGTATTCCAACTCAATTTGGTTTGAAAAAGCCTGTTGATTCTTATTTTCCGGAAGTAACTCTATTTGATGATTTGCCCAGATTCTCTATGAAAAATATTTCTGAAGATTTTTTCATAGCAATGGGTGTACATAAGGTAAAAATTTTTTTTTGCAATTTAAATATGGCCATACAAACTTAATTAATCGGTTTTTCATAACCCGGCCGGGTCAAAATTTACAAAACTCTAAAAAAAAATTTCAAGTATACTTACTATCTTGGGTAAGTTTATTTAAAAAATCTATTAAAATTTTATATATAAAATTTTTTGAAAAGCCGGTTGCCGAGTCATTTTTGAAAATTTTATGTTATGAAAACCGATTTATTAAGTTTTATGGCCTTAATCTAAATGCTTTATTAAATATTATCATTATTACTTTATGAACCTAGCATGTAGAATTACAACTCGTTTTTAATCGCATGGTTAATAATGAAAATCTAAACCACATGCGACTTATAAATTATTTCGCTCCACTGATGAAAACCCTTAAAAATGCTGACATTGAAAAATTAAAAACGACTGCAATTTGGATAGAAGAAAATGTTAATATAAATAAATCAAGGAATTATGTAAAAAGATATTTAGCAAAAGAATTGTATGCTCCATGCTCTATTAATAGATGGCTTAGGTTGCCAGTGATCTATTGGAAAGGTAATTGGATTGGAAATTCTGATGAAGGTATGAGAATTTATATTACAAATAAAATAATCTTAAAAATATGTAATAATGATTTCCCATAAATTCATAACTTTAGTAAATTTTATAACCAATCTTGGACTCCAAGAATATCCATCTCTTCAAATAATACTGCGCCTTGCGTCTCCACCTACAGCTCTTGAAATTCGTAATAAAGCGCTAAATTATTTTATTGATAATCTTAGAGATAAATATAGAGAATATAAACCAAGTTTAATTGAGGAAGAGTTTTTACCATGTGACTCTGGCATTTATGCAAAACCATTAGATTGCTTTTCAAATCCAGATTGTATGATAATGAAATTTAACGCTTTACGTAAAGATTTACGCATTCGGGCTGAAGAGTTAGGTGTTAGACAGCATCCTAACGGTAAGCTACTATTGAAGAGATTATCAAATAATCTTCCGAATAGTATAGATGAAGCGAAAATGTATTTTGACTACCTATCATCACGCCGAGGTGATTTTGATTATGATGATTGGAAGGAACTTAGAAGTCTCAAATTTATACCTGTTCAAGACAAATCTTTGCCAGGAAATATCTTTTATTGCACTCCAAGAGATTGTTTTTTAAAATGCACAAATGAAAGGTATATATAATATTTATTTATTATTTATTTTTTAATAGTAATTATTTTTTTTTTTTGTATTTTAACATATTACTTATTCTTTGATTTAGTTATGCTAATATACTTCCGAATATTGATTTTGGTGAAGTTGCAAATGCATTTTTGGAAAATTGTGGTGTCAAACAAGAGCCAACTTCATTAGACTTGGCAGAATTTCTTGTTAGGTCATCTATGGATTTCTGGAGTCAAATGGATGAAGATTCTTACATTTCAATCCTTGGAACAATTGCATTTAATTATCTATCAATATTTAAAGAAAAACCTGAGTTATATGAAGAAATGAAAAAATCACCAGTATTGTTGGGTAGAAAAAAGTATGGTAATTCTGAACGTTATGACTTAGCCTGTGCAAACGAAATCTTTATAAATGATAATGATCGTTATCGAGATATGTTTAATGCATTAACATGTCAATTTAAAGATCAAAAAATGGAAGAATTTTATATGGTATTTTTCTTTTTAATGCTTTAATTAAATATTAAATAATATTACCATTTATAAACTTACAACAATTACCTTTCATTTATTAAGGTGTTAGGATGTCAAATGCTTAGTTCAAAAGTTAAAACAACACCTCAACATGATGGTACACCAATATCCTCAGAAGTTTCTAATGATGTATTAGAAAGAATCTTGGAGCGAGTCCCTTGGTACTATTCAAGTATACCTAATGACAATATTAAATATGAAGTGTCATGGATAGAAAAATTAAAGGTTATGGAAGTTGATCGAATATATGTCACATATGAGCTTACAACTAATAATATGATAAAAAAGGAAGAAGTCAGCTCTAGTATTTCGGAAAACGAGGATACATTTATTCTTTATATTTCTCGCTCCAACACTGATTATACAGACATTGCATCAAATTTAATTCTGAATATTCATCAACGGCCTCAGCGTCAACATTCCTTAATTTTATATACGTATTTGAACTCAGAAATAGATGTTTTGCAACGACTTGGATATCCTATAGAAAAAATAAAAGTGGCTATTAAGGGTAAAATGCATAAACCTGCAACTGAAGGGTCATCATCTACCTCAGAACCACCAAAAAAAATTAGGAAGACAGATCCAACAGCACCTATATCCAGTGATGAATTGCAAAAGTTATTACGTGCCGGGATAATGTCTTGTAGGTCAAACTTTCAAGATTCTATTTATAGTCCACCAACTGTTAACTCTGTGCCTGAAAGTCATTGTGATTCTGTGCCAGGTATCATGCACATTACTATGATTTGTTCAACCGAAGAATTATTTATATATTTTATATACTTAACTTTTTATTTTATTTTTAAAATTTAGAAACTTCGCTAAAATATGTTAAAACTGAGAGTGAAATTGAACTCCACGTTGCAACTAATATGGACCCATCTAGCATACTATCGACTAGTATGGAAAGACCTTTGAAATGCTTCATTAGAGTTCTCATCAATGTTGCCGAAATTTTTGAAATACCAAGAAACAAAATTAACATATTTTATGATATTGATTCAACAACTGTTGCCTTTAACCGTAATATGACATTATTCTTTAATTTAAGATATTACATAGAATATAAAGAACCTTATAATAAAGCTATTGTATCTTGGTACATGACATTTTGTCATGAATTAGCACATAATTTTGTTAAACCACACAGTGCTGAACATGAGGTAAAATATTTATGCCATTTTTATAATAATATTTTTTTTGAAAAGCAAATTCATGGTTTTAACTTTTTTTATTTTCTTTGTTAAGTTTTTCTTACAATCTTATGCGAAACAATTTATTCCAAAATTATTCGAGAAACTCGGTGGAGGAGTAAATACTGTACAGCCTACAACACAAACTAGGAGTATATTATATAACCCATACGCATAAAAACATTCATTTATTTTTTTAAAAAAAAATAAATAAGTATGAATATTAATGTGTTATTTTATTTATGCTTCGGACATTTTAACAGTTTCTGTTTTCCTAGTACTATAGATTTGTACTCATCATACTAAAACTTAAATAAATATTTTTTATATTGCATTATTTAATAAAAATTTTGAGTTTGAATTTGAAATTTTGAGAATTAGTAATTTCAAAGTTTTTGAGTTTTTGAGTTTCTGAATTTTTGAATTTCTGAGTTTTTGAATTTTTGAGTTTTAGAGATTTCGAGAAATAGTGTTTTTAAATTTTTGAGTTTTTGAAATTTAAATTTCCGAGTTTTTGAGTTTTTAAGTTATATATGATATTGATCAATTTTAAAAAAATATAATTTATATATGTTTTGCTTTATATAGTTATATATAATAAATTAGAGATTTTGAGATTTTGTGTTTTAGAAATTTTGAGAATTAGCATTTCTAAGTTTTTGGTTTAGAGTTTTAGAGTTTTTAAATTTCTGAGTTTTTGAGTTTAAGTTTTAGAAATTTTAAGAATTAGCAATTTCTAAGTTTTTAAGTTTTTGAGTTTTTAAGTTTTAAATTTCTAAGTTTTAAGTTTTTGAGTTATGCATAATATAGATAATTTCTAAAAAAAAATATAATATTGTCTTATATAATAAAATCAGAGCTTAAATTTTAGAGATTTTGAGAATTAGTATTTCTAAATTTTTGAGTTATAAATAATATAAATTATTTCTAAAAATGTAAAATTTAGACTTTTTTATATAGCAATTATTGGTAATTGTAAAAAGTTTAAATCTAACTTTCAAAATCTCTAAAACTAAAACTAAAAAACTTAAATACTCTAAAATACTAATTCTCAAAATTAACTATGAAATATTAATTCTCAAAAATTTTTAAACTTAAAAAGTTTACTAAATAAAGCAATATATATATATATATTATTTAAATAATAGGAATATTCTTATAGTGCTATAGCACTATGATACTATTCTATATGTAATCATAAGATCAGATATAACCTAAAATCAAAACAATTTATTTTATTTATTACTTTAGAGTTAGAGTTACAGTTAGGTTAGTGTTAGTGTTAAAGTGATAGCATAAAAGGTTTTATACTAAAATTTAGCAAGAAATTTTTTTAATTAAAATACTAAAAGTAGTTTTGTATACAAAATTTTAAGTTATTTTTTGTTTTTTAAAAATTGTATTAATTAAATATTATATCTAATCTATTATTTGAATTGGCTATATTGCTCTAATGCTATAGTGCTATAGTGCTACAAATTAAATCTCTTAAATAATTATATAATTAATTAAAGTTTTTTATAATACTTTTTTTGAGAAGCTTAAATATATTATTTTTTGAAATTTTTGTATTATATTTTAATAATATCAATTTAATATTTGGAGGTGAGTTAATAGAAATCAAGCAAATTGTTTTTATTAAAATTTTTTTGAAACTTTAAATAATAATAACTCAACAAAAGCTTTATCAAATTTAATAAAATTTTTTTAAATAAATTCTACAATCTGTAATATTTATTTTAAAAAATTTTTATTAATTTTGATAAAGTTTTTTGCTAAGCTATTATTAGTTAAAGTTTCAAAAAAATTTACTTAGAAAAAATTTGCCTAATTTTTATTGACTCAACTCTATTTTATAATTTTTTAACCTTTGTATTAATTTATTAAACAAAGTTAGTTGTTTTATTATTTATTGAATAAATTCTTTAAAAAAGTTTTAATAAAATTTATATATACTATAGATTAACTAATTATTTTTTAAATAAATAATAAAATATCTATATTGAATACAATATATATATTAGAGTATAAAATAATTTTTTCTAATATAATAATAGTATTAAAATTACTAATTAGCAAAAATATAAATATCAAATTTGAAAAGTACAAATATTAATTTTATTTATTAAAATTATAAATTAAAATATATTAATATAATTACTATATTTTAATTTATTTAAATTAATAATTAAAATTAAAAATTTTTAAATTTTAATTTTTTACAATATTTGTTACATATATATATAATAAAAAAATCAGTTATTCTTTTTATTTGTTTATTGTCAAATAAAAATTAACTTTGCTTTATATTAAAGTATATATTTGAGAATTTATAAATAATTTTTTACAACTTTGCATATTAACAATTATTATATTTTCTTTAAATATTAATAAATAAAATATAAAAAAGTTTGAACTTATCATAATTTGAAATTTTTTTATTATATAGCTATTATTACTATTATATTTATGAAAGCTATTTTCTATTAAAGTTTTAATTATATAATTTTGAATAAAAATTTTAACAAATTAAATAAAATATATAGATATAAAACTAAAAATTAACAATAATAAATTTTAGTAGAATAAATAAAAATATAAATTTGCAATTTATTATTAAAGTAATACAAAATATAAAATTAAAGAAATATAATTTTTTCAAAATTAAAATTTCTTATAAACTATTTTTGTATTCTAATATAAATTTAATTCAAAACTAATAAAATTAAAATTATTAAATTAGTTTTATTAAAAATTTTAAAACTAAAATTTTAAAAATTAAATAGTTTCTAAGTAATACAAAATTTAGAGTTTGTTTATTATTAATAATTATAAATTTTGAATATTGTATTATATAAAATATTAATTTAATTTTATAAATCTTAATTTAGAATTTTGTAGTAAAACTATTAGATCTTATAAAATATAATATATTATATAAATAAAATTTATTTATACAAATCTATTAGAAACTTTATAGTTATTCTAATTTATAAATATATAATTAAAAAAAATAAAAATATTATTTGCTATAAAAATAGTAATTATATCTCTACAATAATTTTCTTCTATATCTTTTCTATATCTAATATACTATTTTATAATAAGTATATTAAAAGAAGCAAAAAACTAATTGTTTTATTTTGTATAATTTTTGCTTTAAATACTTTTTATTTTTTTTATAATATTTAATATAATAATATAATTATTAGATATATACTATTAGTAATTATATTATTATCAATTTTAATATAAATATATTTAATATATTTAAATAATTTATTACTAAAATCATATTCTTCTATATTATATTTATTTTTTATTTATAAATACTATATAATAATAGTTTTAAAAAATTAATAATATATATAGTATATAATAAATTAATTAACTATATATTTTATAAATATTACTATTTAAATAATTTAATTAGTTTTGAATAGTTATTATATTCTAAAATATTGAGAATAAAATTTAATTTGTATTATAAAAGATTAATTAAATATTATATTATATTATATTTACTATATTTAAAAATAATAGAAATTTAAAAGTTTTATCTAATTTCTTTTTAAATTCTTAAGTTTTATTAAGCTAAAAGTTATTATTATCTCTTATATCTTTATTTTTATTATAATAAAAAATAAAATTATTTTTATAAAAATTTAAAAATTATTAAAATAATACTTAAATATATATTTAACAAAGCTACTACAATATTCTATTTAAATTTTTTACAATATATAAAATAAATATTATATTTCAATTATCTAAAAATATTATTTATCAACAATAGAAAGGAGATGTGGAATACAGAGAGCTCAAGATATTTTATCAAAAAGATTACTAAAAAATACGGTCGAGAAATTATCCAAGAAGGCAATGCATTAGTACTAGGACTTGCAGACCACTTCGATGAAATAGTCGCAAAGGCAATGAATATCGAGAAAGAATTAATTACTTTGGCAAGGCAGTAGCATGTTACACTAGAAAGAGCTGCTTTCAAGAAGGAGTAGACAAAGTTAAAGAAGTCCTAGAAAGAGAACAAGAAGCAACAACTACTCAACAAGAGAATATAAAAGAGGTAGTAGAGGAGATAGAAATGAGAATCGAGAAAGAGCAGGTAATAGAAACAAAGAAAGTTATGGAAGTTAAAACAGTTGAGCCTACAAGACAAGAAATACAGTACCAAGAAACAGCAGATAGCACTACTAAAAAAAAAGAAGGAAAAAATAAAGTGCTAGAAGGTATGGAAGATGTCCAACTCATAGAAAATATCATAGAAATTTTTCCTTGCAAGAACGAGATAGAAGACAAATTAGAGCAACTAGCAAAGATAGGAAAAGCAAGATATGGTAGCATGTCTTTAGATTGCAGTGTATGGGCACCCAAACCAGAAGCGTGTAGGGAGAAAGGAGAAGTTAAAGTAAAGGTAGCAGCAGTTAAAATTTTAGGAGGCAATGCTGAACAATGAGAAAAATCAATCAGGTGGTCGCTAAGAGGAAATAAACATATTAAAGCAATTCAAGAAAAATTCGTTAATGGGAACCAATGGTGTATTATCTATTTTGACTACAAAAGAGGATATGAAGAAGCTAAAGCAAAATTAGAAAAGAAGAAAGATGAATTTGATCAACTAAATTTAATTCTAGAAGAAAAGACTGAGAAAGAGAATCCAAGGAAAGGAAAGTTGCTACAAAATGAGAAGAAGGCTAAAGAAGTAAGAGAGGCTCAGGCAAAACAAAAGCTTGAAGAAGTACAAAAGAAAAGAGCAACACTGTCAGATCAAACTAAAAAAGGAGAGTGCTTAATAAGCAGTTCAAGTAGAAAAAGAAAGGAAGTACTACTCGAACGAACAGAAGATAAAAAAATTTCTCCAGTTAAAGACAAAGGAAAAAGAAGAATGTATGAGCCAAAAACATCATCAAAAGAAAAAGAAGACTCTCATACAAGTAACGACCTAGATAGAGAGCAGAAACCTTACCCAAGAATCGAAGAAACTATTATCATATAGGACATACCACATCATATAACAAGGTCACAAGTTTTTTTTGCAATCAAATATCTAGGATGTGTCAAAAACATTGAAATGATTAGAGAAAGCTCAGGAAAAACAAGAGCAGAAGTGTCTTTTGAAGAAGAAAGTAGTTTCGTACAGGGTATAGAAACTTGGGTAGT